TATCGGATATGGGTAAAATCAGGCTGACAGTTTTATCATCACACATAAAACATCTCAATAAACTCTGGGTTGTTGAGTGATAACCAGTTGACTACATTGCCTGATGATACTGGTGAACTGAAGGAACTGGAAATGCTGCTTGTACCTGGAAATCCTGCAACACTGGAAGAAATGAAAAAGGTTGTGAAAATAGAGAAGAAGATTTGAAGCCAGACCTGGCACAAAACAGTATATGTGTAGACCTGTACCTCTTAGGTATTCTTTTCAAAATTTCTGATGAGCATCCCTGTCTTTTTTTTATGGGAGTCTCACTTCTCCCCAGGCCTCACACAAAAACAATGGCACAAAAAAAGAGAATTTACATTTAGATTAACAAAATAAACGAGTGACTATCCTTTCTTTTTATTGCTGTGTTTTCAACAAGAAATAGAAAAAAATTATCCGTGTTTCTATACACCTTATTCTAAAATGGCCGCCATTTTAGTATTCTTTTGTATACTTGAAAATGAGCCCTTGTTGCCCCGTTTAAGGGAAAATATTCTTTTGAATTTCGAGTTTAAGAGCGAGGCAAAAAGGGCTAATTTGCAAGTAAACAAAAGAATACTTAAATGGCGGCCATTTTGGAATAACGCGTATTGAGCAATAGGAAACTCGTGAAAGATTGACAGAGCTGAAAAGGTACTCTCCTAATCTTTCACTTGTGTTTCTGTTAAACAATTACCGGTAGATTATGGGCTCAAGATTTCTATTGCGTGATAGTTGACGAGGGCACAGTCCAAGTGAACTATCACGCATAGTAACTGAGAGCGAACAATCTAAATGTTTTAGTATAAATCTACTAGTTTTTCACAAATTTATCTAAATCCTTTTCAGACACCTCGAAAACGTAAAGCAGCAGCCGCCATTTTGTTAACAAGCGCACACTGCTATGCTACTCACTATCTACAACTGAATAGATAGTGAGCAGCATACCCAATCAGAGAATGGCATTTGTGATAGGACGCAAGTGTATTAATACTCGATAGAAACACGGATATTTTTTGTTCAATGTTTGTTAAGGTCTTGCATGTCATAAAATAAAACTAATCATAAAACAACTTACATTTTGTTAGCACCAATGCTTGCAAGTATGAAGTTCTTGTGTTGCCTTGTGATGTTGCCACTAAACAGAACACTCATGTTCACCAGCAATTCATTGAACAATCTTTCCTTTGGC